CAAGCTGCACAGCGCGCACTGGACCACGGGTGAGTGTGGCAGTGATGAATACATCACCCACTTCCTGGTGCAGTACCGCAAGCTGCACAGCGCGCACTGGACCACGGGTGAGTGTGGCAGTGATGAATACATCACCCACTTCCTGGTGCAGTACCGCAAGCTGCACAGCGCGCACTGGACCACGGGTGAGTACGTGTGGCGGTGATGAATACATCACCCACTTCCTGGTGCAGTACCGCAAGCTGCACAGCGCGCAGTGGACCACGGGTGAGTGTGGCAGTGATGAATACATCACCCACTTCCTGGTACAGTACCGCAAGCTGCACAGCGCGCAGTGGACCACGGATGACTGTGGCAGTGATAAAATATTGCCCACTTCTTTGTGAATCACTTTGTCCGTGATCTGGATGTCCCCAAGTCCTTGCAAGAGTGATGCCTTGAACTGTTTGCGTTCAGTCCTTCGTTAGAGAGAGTAGCGTTTACAGTGGGAAATTTTGTCTTATAGGGATTCGCTGCCAGCTGTTTTTGAAAGGAGGATATTGTTAAAAAATGCCAGTGAGAATATTTATATGGAAAACAATGCATCGCTCACGTTAATTTTTTTTTCAAATCGTTACAGTTAGCAGCGAGGTGGAGGTGGCGAGGACATTTGGCGTAAGTGGTTTGCAGCCTGGCGAGAGCTACGAGATCAGAGTTACTGCCTACAACTCTGCAGGAGCAACGCCAGCGCTCTACACCGTCACCACCGCTGCCCTGCACTCTGCAGGTGAGGCCTACAACTCTGCAAGAACGCAGCGCTCTACAGTCACCACCGTCATACTACACTCCACCAGTAGAAGGAAATTCTGCATGAGCCCATGCCAACAATTTAGGTCGCCAAAATAGTCGATGGAATGAACGATATTTCAGATATTTGATGAACACCGATTCTTCATTTTGTTCATAACTGAACACTATGCATGGTTGGTATGAAACATTTATCGAAGGACCTTAGAAAAGGATTTGAACTTGACCTCGCGCAGGATCAGTATTGAAGTGAGGTCGGACTTAAGGGCTAACCATCGTCGCGGAATTCCGCCATTTTGCTCTCATTACATCTTCCAACATTTATGCTACTTTATTCAGGAATTCCAACTTATTTTCGTGTTTTAAATGCATAGGCTCTGGCGTTATGTACCGCGACAAGCCCATCGTGGGCAGAGGGGGCAGCAGAAGCTCTACGACGTGGCAGCCTCTGCGCCTCGTCCTACCCGTCGTCATCTCCTTCGTCGCCCTCATGCTCGCCGTCGCTACCGTCGTCATCTGCAGACGCAAACGTGAGACGCTAAGCCTTCTGGAGTACAAGATTACGATGACTCAAATGGAATCGAATTATGAATGCTATGAAAATTTGTAGACACAAAAAGTTCGAGTGCAAGGAAATTAGAAAGGTAAAGATTTTACCGGTCAATGCAAATAACGAATGCATCGAAGAATTTTTCCGTGGGCAACCGTAATTAACTTTGCCAACATAAGGCGACGCTTCTGATGTTCTGGCTGCTGGCACAGAGGCTCTTTGGGCTAACCTGATCACTTGTTTTGATGACTTAAATTTCTTTTAGGCCTTCAATACCAATTAAGCGAGGATGATTGTTGTAAGAAATACTGATCAAAACATTACCAGCACGTCGGCCGCATGTTTTCGAGTACGAGGTGCTCACCGGAGGCCATCTTTGCTCAGCTCAAAACTTCACTTATATTAATTTCAGTGGACAAGCATGCTAGAGGGCATGATAGTCTGTGAAGTCAACAGCAAGAATGTTGAAGCAGTGGCTGTTGATTCGTGGCCCATATCACTTAAGGCAGTGCAAAACTGGGTCTGGATTACAGAAAATGTCCCTTTCTTTAGGGCTTTGAGCGGCTTTGGCCCGATCCGATTGGAGTTAATTGGAAAGCCGAATGTATGCAGATGAACGTTTATCATTGGATATATTAAAAATTTAGCCAACCATCTTTCTACCTGTGATTGTTTTATAATTTTCTTTATATTATACTCTGTCATATTGAGTGCAGAAAATAATTATTTGCTGGACAAATCCACCAGGGAACCAGAACTCCCCGAAGCGAAGTACGAACTCCACAGCAGCGAAGGGGACCAACGAGGCACCGGCTCTGAAAGAAAAAGAAGCTGTGCAGACTTATCATAAATCTTTCGGTGAGGTTCTCTTCCAGAAAAGACTTTACTGACAATAGAGACTTGAGTTTTCTGAAAACAGGATTCATTTTATAAAATTCTGCGATGCGAAACTGACGCATTTTTCATGTAATTGCTGGACCATATTCGTCAAGCTACAATCTTTGCGCTTTTCGAAACATACCGCTTATGATAAGTTTATCTTTCGAAAGAGAGGGTTGTAATAAAACAAAAATGTGAGTCAATCACGACGTCCTGCTCTAATTTGAATGCGCTCGTATCTCTTATAAAGTTCATGAGGCTATCACTATACAGCAGTAGTCATGTTCATGACTATGTAGCAGTTATTGACGAACAATATCAATTGCTTGCTATTGCAGAGTACGCTTCGGACGATATCTATCATTACGCTTCAGCAAGTTATCAGTTCGGAAACTTGACCCCACCACCTCCTACGCCGGCGGCTTCAGATGACGCTGAGACTCGCACCGACCAACAAACTAATTGCAACCGCGGCCATCTTCCAACCAATGCCCACCTTGTGCTGGCGGAAGATTGCATTGTTCAACACGGTACTGAGGACGTCGTAAGACGGCAACGACAGCAGTACGATGAAAGCGAACAAGCGGAACACCACGACCTCCGTGAGAATATGACTAGCTTCAACAATATTCTGTACCAGGCACCATCTCTTCAGGACGAGGACGCCGCTGTGATAGAAGTGAGTATAATGCATAACCCAAACTCGTTTAAACGTTAAGAACCTTAACATAGTTTCGCATGATTTTGCTTTCAAAGCAAATGCCAAAATGATTAGCGCGACAGTCATTTAAGAAATTGTATACAATATTAATTACATTCTGGTTTCTATAAATCATTATTTTACTTATAGAATACCTTATCCATGACCACCACAGTCCACTCATTCGAAGGGCTCAGAAAAAAATCGATTTCTTTTAGAACATCAGTAGCGTGTATATTTGCACGTTGAAGCGCCCGCCATTCAACTGATTACGATACATTTCATATGATTCCACCCATAGTGAATCATTATGCCAAATGCTCAATATTGTCCCTAAATCATCTTCTGTTTTTTTATTTACTGGATTAATTTTATTATTTAGTCTTCGACTCTACGTTCTCGAAAGTTAAAAGTAACAGAAGCTCTACCTTACCGTCATGATGTGAATGCTGTCAAAAAATTAGTTGGTCAATGCTGTCAAAAAATCTAATTGTTAACATTTAACAAAAGTGCTTAGTGCAATATATGCACGGGAGTCATGATCGATGATTGACTACTTATCAGTGATGATATGGCCTAGGACGAGTGAGGTTGTCGAACTGATTTCTGCGCCGCAAGCTCCACCAGTTTTGTTTGGTGGTTTTGAATTCTAGAGTGCCACTTGAATTCTGGGGTGTCATTCAATATTTCACTGATCTTGAAAATCATCATCCATTCATAGAACTGACTGCCTACTGCATCACTTGCCTACTTTTACCTGTCTCCAATGCATTCGTATAGAGCGAGTGTTTTAAACAAGTCAACTATGTGGAAAAACAAGCAACGAAATAAAATATCAACGAGGTACTGGAGTCCGTTATTCGGACCAAAAGCTATCAGCTCAACCGCAACAAGTGATCACACCCGAAATGTTAGATAAATGCAATATGCAAGCATTTACGAAAATAAGCAAAATTAAGCAAGATGGCCTGTTTCTGTGGCTTGCCCATGTAGAGCGAAGGGGAAGAAGTGCCACACTGTGAGCAAAAAAGGAAATAGTGTCAATGTAATCAAACACAGGAAATGAAAAGTGTCAAAATGTTCCAAACAGAGGGAAAAAATATAACGTGTTCAATTTGGCTAATTTAGTCAAGCCAGATAAATGTGCAGTACGTAAGATACATTTTTTTTCTTTTTCCAACCAACGTTTCTGATGAATAGTTTCATTAAATTTGAAGGGATTAGTCTGTTTTTGAACAATAGAATTCCTGGTATATTTCTGTTTTTTTTTTTTTAGCTTGGCAATCTGGTATTCTCAGCAAGAAAAAAGCTGGCAACATTGCAGTGGCCACTCTGGTCGTCTGATCTCTGATGGCCTGGCCTGGCCGCCTGGCCAGTTATCATCTGGATGCCATGTGCGATAGGATGCGTGTGCGTTCGACAGAGGATTCTAATACGTTTTGGACAAAGTGACGCGTTTAAACAATTAGCCTTGGAGCAGGAAATTTAGTCAATCGAAATGAATAGATATTCTCAGTAAAATCGGCGCCGAAGAATTGGCTAGCAATTCAAACCGGAAAACTATCTGAGAAATTAGGTGGGATGCTCGATGTGGTGTTAAGAGGGCAGAGGCAAATGCCATGGTAGCATCGGTTAGCGCGTGTTCTCCGATTTGGGTTTGTTACGTTGAGCAAATCTAAAAGCGGGCAGAGGCCCGCTAGTTTGTTTAAAATTGTGCCTAATTAGGTGTTTTTATTGGTATTAATGCTTCATTGTAGGCCTCTGATTATTTTAATCAAGTTCGGATAAATTTGGGCACTGCATCAGTCTGCATGTGCATGGGAGATTTGAGCTTATACATTGCCATTGGTGATGTGAAGTTGCTCCCATTATTGATGTAAACAAGACTATTGACACCTGCCCATAATGGCTTCATTGCATGATTTATGATAGGATTTTAAACCTGATCCTTATTTCAGGATATGGTCCTCGGTTGAAAATGTTTTTCAGAACTCTTCCACCTACATAACATGAGTGAAGGTAGGTAGCATTTTATACGCGCAACTGTTTGGTTGGACTACGAAATATACATGAACTAACTGTGAGGAACTTGAACAAAGGCGGCTTCACTGGCTTAAACGTGAAACTTAACTAGCTATACAGCCTCAGAGGCTCAGCCTGTATATTCAGTAAGGGAAATGTCGTGAAACTGTCCAGTGACAACAGCAGGAGTCGCCATGAGAGACAGAACTTCTGAATCGAGTAAATTTAAAGCTGTCACTAATCGCTATTGAAACACGGGGACGGGAGCAATGACTAAAGCAAGGAACGCAGTCCATCATGTCCATGGCCACCAATTTTACTTCTTAACACTAGAAGTTGGACTAGCTCTGTAGCCAACTCTCAGCATTACATACATTATACCCACACATCTCATCATCTCCTGAAACGAATGTCAGGCAATAAAGCCTAGATAGGAGGCCTATGTAAGTAAATAGGCCTTTTGTCTACTCTGATGAACAAATGAGCAATTGTATAATTTTAAGAAATATTTGATTTATCTGAAAACTATGAGCTCGATGCTAATTGGGCAGTGGGCACGCCGTCAGTTGGCAAATTCTGGCGTAATTATCTATAATTATGCCATAATTATCATTTTATTTGGATTTTCAGATGAAATATTAGTTTCAATTTTTGAAGAAATGATTAGTGTGATTTTCTGGCGTAATTGTCTATAATTATGCCATAATTATAATTTTATTTGGATTTTCAGAGGAAATATTAGTTTCAATTACTGAAGAAATGTTTGTGGTGATTTTCTGGCGTAATTAGGCTATCTATAATTATGCCATAATTATAATTTGCTCTGGATTTTCATAGGAAATATTAGTTTTCATTTCTGAAGAAATTATTGGGGTGATTTTAGGACAGTGGTGGCAAGTTTAAAGGCTACCATTCTGAACAATATTTTCAGATAAGTGGATACTGAATACCTATGCGTAACGCGTATAATGCCACAAATATCACCACTGCACTTACCATGTCACGGTTGTCACCGGCCTTCTATTGAAACGATGTATTCCATGATCAAAACGTGTAGTTATCGAACTGTACAATTCGTAGTTCTGAACGGTATTGAATGGTTTTCAGTAGTGAGCGGGGCATTGTTGAACCTGGATTTGCTATGCAGGATTTTCTTGATCTAAGTTCGTAATCCCGATGATAGCTAAACAAGTTCAATTTCTTTTACGCAATCTGACTCTATAAGATCTCGATGACAATACCTACTTATATTCAAAATTTCAAGCAGATCCGTTCGGTATTGAAGGAGTTACAAGTGGTTCGGTTGAGCGAAAAATTAGGTTTTGCGTTTGAGTCCGCAGGCGGGTCCGGAGATGTGTCGATTTGGTACGAACGTGTTATAGAAGTGTCGGCACTGAAGAAATAGGCTCATGGCCTGTTGCCGATTTGTTAGGAAATAGACAAAAGTATAACAGTTCACACCAAGATTTCATTTGAAAACCAAAGAATTATTTCCGGAATGCAGCGGTGTCATAAATTGCGAAAATTCAGCTACGCTTCCTGAAGTGCAAACTGGAACGAGAGACCACTAACCATTACTAAGATAAATCTAGAAGCTAAAATTAGGTTTTTAACTAAGTTCGCCATTTAATCTGGTTATATTTAATTCCTGAATTAGTTCCAAGTTAATTTAAATTTAATAGGCAATACTATATTCCACTTACTGACCTAACTTAATGCCGCTAGCTGAATTTCGACGGCATGAAAGCCTTTCTGGGGTAAAATGTTGATGGGCTCAAGTAAAAAGAAATGATATACGGGTCGGCCCAAATTAAGGGTAACAAGTTGAGCTTAAGGCGTTAAAACGTAAAGAGAGGCACAGAGGCCGGCAATGATGCCAAGAATAATAATTGTGTAAACGACATCTAGAATGTTGGGCCAGACCAAAAAAGTGACTGCATTAATCTGGCCTAGTGACTGCATTATTTGTTACATTAATACTGCAGGTATTAATGTAACAAATTAGGGCCATTGGCATGCATTAATTCAAATTGGTTAACAGGAAATAAGGTTGAACCCAGTTTGCAGTAGGTAGCGAATACTGCCTCAGTCACTTCTATGCTAATTCCTGCTCAAACAAAAACCTCCTATGAAATCGACGCGTTACAAACTTGATCTTATATATCTCCTTTACATTAAACGGAACATAATTTCTAATAAACAGAAGAAAAATTCTAATAGATCCTTGTACTTTTTGTGACTTCATTCACAGTGATCCGGCCTTTTGAACCCGATAATTCCATAACTGATCATTGTTTGAGTGAGATAGCCCTGGCCGTAAGGTGTTAGGCATTTCAAGAGTGGACATATGCTCCTGCATAGCTGTCTAGTCTCTTTTTGAAGGGAGCGCAGCCGTGGATCGTAAATTTAAGTCATAAACAAGCCCTAGTGCCAACGCCTGCATCTCTTTTTGAAGGCGATCATACTCGGAGCGCCAACGATGCCATCAGGTAAGTTGTTCCACATGTCGGTGACTTGAAGCAAGAAGGAATGTTGTCGCACGGATGTGTTACAACGCAGTTTTTTAGTTTATAGCCGTGGCCCCATGGTGTTGGTTCTTGTTTCAAATTCTAGGACACCTCAGTACAGGGACCTTGTATAAACCGTAGGTAAACTGATATACTTCAGTGCGGTCACCACGCAGACGTCGATAACAGCGGCAGGAAGCTTCATAATCTTTCTCTATAAGACTTGCCTTGTAATCCCGGAATTATCCTTTTTGCACGTCTTTGAACACTTTCAACTAGATTTTTGTTCTTTTCTAGTTTCAACAAACGTCAGTTTCATCGCTTCTGTTTCTAGGTCGTAGGAGCGTACGATCAGTCCAAGTCCTTTATTGGCTTTATTATNATTCAATACAAAATAAATATATATTTATAAATCCCGCATAAAATATCGAAAGTATACTCATCTATGGA